TTTGGATCAAGAAGTTCATTCAAGAATTGGGGGTAGTTCCATCTAGCATATCACCCATTCCACTGTTGTGTGACAACACTGGAGCCATTGCTCAAGCTAAGGAGCCACGAGCCCACTCGAAGTCAGAGCACATCGAGAGGAAGTACCATGTACTACAGGAGATATTTGGTAGAGGGGACGTCCTAATTCAGAATGTAGCATCAGCGGAAAATGTAGAAGACCCATTGACTAAGCCACTGACACTGAAAGTGTTTGAGAAATAGGTGGAAAGTATGGGACTCCGGCTTGTACCCGATTGGACCTATGTGTAAGTGGGAACTGTTAGACAGTGTATGACCTTAGCTCCAATCAGATTGATGTACATTTTTTTGAGCCCCAAAATTTACTCCCGGTGGAGGGGTGGCCACCGAAATTTTATTAATATGAAGAAAACTGTGGAGGAGGGACGTGAAACCTTACCCCTCGCTTTATACAAAGGGAGCCTGGCTCATATAAACATTAAGCGTCTAGGCAACCTAAAATCAACGAATTCTCAAAAAAGGAAGGCCTAAACCATCTGATGTAGTCAAGTGTTGTACATGGGAAGGAAATGTATCTGTGCAATCATAAACACTTTTCTGAGACTCTAAGCAACCCAGCTTCGTAAGAGCATCCACCAGTTGGTTAGCCTCTCTGTAAATATGGACACAATAGAATTACAATCTATTCCTAAGCTCCTGAACCTAAGACAACCAAAACCAAAGTTTCCAAGGGGTTGTACAAGTACCATTGAGAATATCAATCAGAAGTTGGGAATCTGATTCCACCATTATCTTCTCTAGATTAAGAGCAACCGCCAGGTGTAAGCCATCCAACAAAGCCATAGCCTCAATGACTAAATTGGAGTCTGAACCATAGGTGTTAGAGAAAGCACTAATGAAACCATTTCTTCCATCTTTGATGATACCCCCCTCCACCACATGGGCTAGGATTTTCTCTAGAAGCACCATCAACATTCAACTTAAAGTAACCCTTTGGAACTGGTAATAAATGCACCATCTTGATGTACCTATTCTTAGTTAGGTGAATTGCAACCCTAAACCCTATAAAGAGAGTTGTTGAGTAAAACTCACTCTATGGGTGAAGTGTAAAGGAGAGGATACCTCATGAATCCATCGCACAATTACCCAAATAACCATATTAGAGCATCTGAATTTATTTTTCATTCTGCGCCCGTTTCTTTCCTTCCAGATTTTTCAAACTGCAAAACAAGCAATCAGCCCTACTATAACAGCCCATCGGTTTTTTCCTCAGGCTGCTGAAAACCAAAAAGAGAGGAGCTCCTTAATACTCTCATTACCCCTGAAGGTAAGCCCAAACAATCTGCTAAAGAAAAGCCAAACTTTTCGAGCTAGACAGCCATGCACTAGCAAATGATTAACATTCTCCTCTGAGTGATCATGGCAACAGACACATCTGGATACAAAAGGGATCCCCAACTCCTTTATATCAGAGTCCACCCCTACCTTCCCCACCATAAATTTCCAGACAAAGAAGCTTGTCTTGGTGGGCAATAGAGCATTCCAAACTGACTTGTACCAATCCACCATAGGATGAGCATCTCTATAGAAGGACCAAGCTATTTTAACAGAGAACCCTCCTTTCATTTCAGGAAGCCAAACTATCTTGTCTTGGCTGTTAGAGAGCTTCACACCTGACCTCTGAATCTCTCGGAGAGCCTCATCCTCAAGAAGCTCCATAACCTGATCCAGACTCCAAATTCCTGCCTCATCAACAACATCACAAACTCTCAACTGCAAATTAAGACCATCTAGCTGAATGACTTTCTCAATTAAAGTACCATCCATGGTCCAATTATCCAACCAGAAGCTGATTTCACCCCTTCCCACTAACCACATCGAGAGAAGGACTAAATCACCTCTTAGTTCCATGTTCACCTTCCAGGTACGAGAAGTATAGTACGGAGGAATGGCTCTATAGAAATGACCACCCTTCAGCACCTTGGCTCTAAAAAATTCTGCCCACAACGAATTTCGGAACAGCACTTGCCGCAAAACTTTCAACCTGAGTGCTTTTTGGACATCAGATAAGCTTTTAATGTGCAGCCCACATTAAGAAAAAGTTCTCACAATTTTCCTCCAAGCTATCCAATGGTGATGACTACCTATCTCCGAATTAAACCAAAGGAATCCTTTCATCAATTGATCTAGGTGTTTGATAACCTTCTTGGGAGTTGTAGCTGCCGACATCAAGTATATCGGAATACTGCTCAACACATGTCTAATTAAGACCAACTTACCTCCCGCTTAAATCATTTTCCCCTTCTAACCCGAAATTTTTGCTACCACTTTCTGCACAATCCCATCAAATTCTTCTGCTTTCACTTGGCCCTTACCAATGGGGATCCCAAGGTAGGTGAAGGGGAGAGACTTATGCACGTAGCTCGTAACTGAAGTTATAATTTGGATTCTACTATGAGAAGCTTTTGTTGAAGTGAAAATTAAACTGATCTAATGCAACAATACTGATCTAATGCAACCACACCTATCGGCCGCATCCGTTGGAAAATGGGCCTAGGGTTCGCATTGTCAGGACCCTGAGGACACCCGCACATGCACTATAAGGACCATTGGGCCAAAGCATCTCGGTATGTGCCTCCACGATAGGTTGAAAGTAACACACAACAATACTGATCCCATGCAAATTAAACCACGCTTCTACACCTATCGGCTGCGTCCGCCCGCATCCGACAGAAAATGAGCCCGAGGTTTGCAAGGTCAGCACCCCGAGGCCTCTGACACATGCACTATAAGGACCGTTGGGCCAAAGCATCTCAGTATGTGTCTCCATGATAGGTTGAAACTAACACACGACAATACTGATCTCATGCAAATTAAACTACGCTTTCACACCTATCGGTCGCGTCCGACGGAAAATGGGCCCAAGGTTCGCATGGTCAGGACCCCAAGGACTCTGACACCTGTAGTATAAGGACCCTTGGACCAGAGCATCTCGATATGTGTCTCCACGATAGGCTGAAACTAACACAAGATAATATTGATCTCATGCAAATTAAACCACACTTCCACACTTATTGGCCACGTCCGACGGAAAATGGACACGAGGTTCGCCTAGTTAGGACCATGACACCTCCGGCGCATGCACTATAAGGACCATTGGGCCAGAGCATCTCGGTATGTGCCTCCACGATAGGCTGAAACTAACACACGACAATACTGATCTCATGCAAATTAAACCACGCTTCCACACCTATTTGCCGCGTCCGCCTACATCCAACGAAAAATGGGCATGGGGTTCACATGGTCAGGACCCTGAGGCCTCCGACACATGCACTATAAGGACCATTGGGCCAGATCATCTTGGTATGTGCCTCCACGATAGGCTGAAACAAACATACGACAATACTGATCTCATGCAAATTAAACCACGCATCCACACCTATCGGCTACGTCCGACGGAAAATGGCCCCGAGGTTTGCATGGTCATGACCTTGAGGCCTCCGGCACATGCACTATAAGGACCATTGGGCCGGAGCATCTCGGTATGTGCCTCCACGATAGGCTGAAAGTAACACACAAAAATACTGATCCCATGCAAATTAAACCACACTTCCACACCTATCAGTCGTGTCTGCCCGCGTCTGATAGAAAATGGGCCTGGGGATCGCATGGTCAGGACCCCAAGGCCTCCGGTACATGCACTATAAGGACCGTTGGGCCAGAGCATCTCGGTATGTGCCTCTTACGATAGGCTGAAACTAACACATGACAATACTGATGTCATGCAAATTAAACCACGCTTCCACACCTATCAGTCGTGTCTGCTTGCGTCCGACGGAAAATGGGCTCAGGGTTCCCACGGTCAGGACCCTAAGGCCTCCGGCACATGCACTATAAGGACCGTTGGGCCAGAGCATCTCAGTATGTGCACAAAATAATCCATCTGATGTGAACCACACTAGGCTGAAACACACAACAATACTGTTGTGATGCAAACCACACTTCCAAACCTATCGGACGCATCTACCCACGTTCGAAGGTCAACGAGGCCGGAGGTAGGCTGATCCAATCCCCAAGACCTACGACACGTGCACTATAATGAACATTGATTCGGTCCGTCTCGATGCATGCATAGAGCAATCCACAAAGGTGGACTACACTAGGCTTGTAAATTCTTAAAAACAATCGAATTATTGTGTCCTCTGTAATCAAGTTGAAGGGGAGATCCACCGGGTAATGCCAGAGATTGTTTGTGATCTTTTGTGGTGTAGGGAACTTAAGAGACAGCCCATGGTCACAATGAGAGTGTATGGTCTTCCATCCATATGCAGTGTTAAGTACAATTTGTGACAAAAGGAATAACATAATTTTACAAAACAAAGATAGTGAAGTGGATCAACTTAGTGCCTATACGTTTGGAAGGCTAATGTCTTGGAAAGTTGATGTGAAAGGACGTCAGCCAAGTTGGGAACTATTATTAAACTAATAGATGTATTGTACAAAGTTACCCTTAACATACTCCAAAATGTGGATCTTATTGCCATTATATGATGCTGGAAAAATCTCAGACTCCCTATATTCTTATGGTGTTGTATTTCTTTCTGAAATGTGGATCTTATTTCATCTGTCATCCAAGCTGAGTTATATGCCATTATTTCAGGCCTTATCAAAAATCTCCCAGTGAGAAAGTTGTTCAAGCACTCCAACATAAAATGCAATAAGAATATGCCATTTTTCCCTACTCATGCAAATGGATTTATTTTTTGTGTAAGAGCAGTATTGTTGGTTTCAAAATATGGTGACATCTCTTTTGTTTATGTGAATAGAAAGTTTAACAATTCAGTGCACAAGGTATCCCAACTGGATAAATTCCATTATTTACCATATTTTAATTTTAATTACTATAAGAAACCAAAAGTGGAAGAATATGTTTTGTTGGCTTGAGTTCTAATATAAAGCACCTTTAAAAAACAAAAATACACTTAAACGAGAATGTTTATGAAGTTTACACATTTGACATCCTTATTCTTTGTAAAGCTGCTCAAATTTTTGTTTACTTAACGCTATGTACTTCAGTTGCAACTATATTCAGTTTAATGGGTGGACATGTGTAGAGCGGCTTGCAAGCTCTTTTGGCAACATCACATTGGTTTCGTTGTTTCTCTGATTGTCAACACTGCTCCTCTTTCAACCCATACTTATTGAAGGATAAATGATTCACCCACAAACTTGGACTGGTCCCTGGAATTTGTTGCAGGTCGAAAGTATTCCAACATCTGCCTACTCTCCTTCATCATCTTCCCTCCTTCTTGGCAAATCAGTAATTGCTGATTGGATTTATTCCATACTGATTAGGTTTTTGATGATGATGCTGGTCAAAAAGAAGAAGATCAATTTATGGTTATGCTTTGCGAAGTGGGGATATGATAAACTAACGGGATTTGGGAAGAGAGAAATACACACAAAAAAAAATGCATACTAGATGTTTCTATGTCGTGTGCATCAAGCTTTCATGGGATGCAATGACTTTTGGTTATTAATGTCTCTGATCAGTTACTCGTTGTCTTAGCCCAACAAATACACCAATGGGTGATCAAATAAAGGAAATTGATCACATGAACTAATAATAAGAATAGGTGAACTGAAGATAAACAAGATATATAATGAGTAGCATACCCGCACCTGATGTATGGGCATTCTACCTTAGTTTACCCTGAAGTAGTTGAACACAGATCTCCCATCGAATTACTCCAATCGTCTCTTGGATTTGAAAGCGCCCGAAATGTGCATGAGTTTGGATTAATGGACAACATAAACATCAGATCATATACATAATAATGAGTATATGCACCGATGAGAAATCAAGCATCGCCGACCTAGACAGACAATCCATATACTTGATAACAAAAACACCACAATCGTCTCCACCTTCCTAGCAGGGAGCCCAAATGGCAGGTTCATGAGGCCACCCACCAATGCCACTAATAACATTGCTGAGAACCGTCTTGTAAATTTGATGCTATGTTGCGATAAAAAAAATAAAATAAAATAAAAACAGTGTTAGGATACCAATTTAGAGATGCAACGTCACAAGACTTATCTAACGTTGAGGATGCATACCATTTTATCTGCAAACGCCTTGTAGACTGCCCCATGGATAGAGCTATACGAGAGAAACCTCTTCTGTACTAGATCAATGACAAGTAGTTACCAGTGATAGTGATCATTAATGGGTATGAAGATTTTCTGCACGCGCTTCTTCTCAATTGGTTCTAACCATGGTTTCAACTTCTTGAGCATCCCATTCGTTGCAAATCCCTAAGTAAAGGAAACCAAAAAAGCATTGCATTTGCAAAAAGTGTATTTCACTTGAGACACTGCAGGCACGTACAGAATTTTCACTGAATTGTGACTCCATGTTTGCAATAGGTTGTCGTACACGTCTATAACCTACACACAATAATGATAATGTATCAACAAATAATCAATAACCAATTACAATGCATAATTAAGAAAAAGGGAGAGGAGGTTTGCATCACTTAGTAAACAATTTTCGTTCTTAAGCACATACGCATCCCTAAAAAAAAACAAAATATACAAAAGGATGTTCAGCATTCTTACAAAGGATAGTCGGTAGATTCAGTGCATGAATATTGTTATGTTATGTGAACCAATAAAACATTCTTACTTCTGAATCTCCTTGTGCAAGAAATTACGGACCAATTGCAAATCATCTATTGCCATTCTGTCTTTTCGTGCAAATGCTACCCATGCCAATGGGCCCACCTTCTACCACCTGCTCAAACTAAGCTGCTAGGGATGCTTTCAAACTAAGCTGCTCAAACTCAATCGATTCGACGCAGCGTGCACACACACCCTGCATCATCAAGATCACAACAACATCACAGCACCAACTTAGATATTTAAAGCAAAAATACTAATTTCAAACAAAACCCTATTAAATTCCACGTACGACTGTCCTGGAACGATATGAAATAGTGTCAACATCATGCCCTGAGTTTCGCCCAACTTCGATGGGCAATACAGCAATGGGGAGTGGGGCCTACATTCCAACATATTTAGTAATTTTTAATATCAATGAAAATGTGAATTATATAATCAAAATGAATGATGCTTACTTACATGGTTGTATGGATCACAAAAAGAAGTTTGTGTCTCTCCACCATCACCGTCGGGAAATGTCGGGGCACTAACAAGTAGATCCAACTCATAATCGGCTGGGGATAGGGTATCAAACACCTACAAATATAAGTTGTTGAAAAGTTAAGTGGTAGTTTTGTAACTTTCCTTTATGTTTTGTCTTCTATATGAAGTGGGTTGTCTTTGGGAGTTGGAATCTGAGGGGTCCCTTTCTATTATCTTGGAATGCCCCTTGGAGAAGGAAGGTGGTTTGGGAATATGTCAATGGAGAAAAAAAAAACGAATCTATTCTGATTAAATGGCTATAGCAAGAGATCTAGACTTATAAAAGGAGATTCGGCTAATTCAATTATGTGGCTATTGTTGATCATGGTAGTGGGCCATGGGCTGTATCACACTTTTTGATTGGAGCAAAAGATATCCTTCTCAACGTAAATGCACAGCTGCTGTTAATAGGGATGCCTTATGTAGTGATAGCTCCCTTCCTACTTTATTTCTAAAGAAATTGTTTTAGGATCCACACATTATTTGGGTGGTGATATTTATAACCTCCTTCTAAGGGAGTTCAACACTAAAGTTGGGGTGGATGCTTGGGGTGTTTAACACTGAAGCTGGTGTTCACAGGTGGGGTGGATACTTAAGGAGTTTAACACTGAACCTACTGTATGTTGTTCACAGTGATAACTTCCTTCCTACTTTATTTCTAGAGAGACTGTTTTAGGATCCACCCATTCTTTGGTAGTGATATTTGTAGCCTCCTTCATATGGAGTTCAACACTGAAGTTGGTGTGGATACATGAGGAGGTTAACACTGCAGCTGGAGTTCACAGGTGGGGTGGTTACTTAGGGATTTTAGCACTAAAGCTGTTGTTCACGGGGATAACTCCCTTCCTAATTTATTTATAGAGAGATTGTTTTAGGATCCACCCATTCTTTGGTGGTGATATCTGTACCCTCCTTAGGGAGTTCAACACAGAAGCTGGTGTTCACAGGTGGGGTGGATACTTAGGAAGTTTATCACTAAACTTGGTGTTCATAGGGATAACTCCCTTCCTACTTTATTTCTAGGGAGATTGTTTTAGGGTCACCCATTCTTTGGTGGTGATATCTATACCCACCTTTTCAGGGAGTTCAACATTGAAGCTGGTGTTCACAAGTGGGGTGGATACTTGGGGAGTTTAACACTGAATCTACTGGATGTTGTTCACAGTGATAACTTCCTTCCCACTTTATTTCTAGGGAGACTGTTTTAGGATCCACCCATTCTTTGGTGGTGATATCTATAGCCTCCTTTAGAGGGAGTTCAACACTGAATCTGGTGTGGATAATTTGGGAGGTTAACACTGCAGCTGGTGTTCACAAGTGGGGTGGATACTTAGGGAGTTTAATACTAAAGTTATTGTTCACGGGGATAACTCCCTTCCTAATTTATTTATAGGGAGACTGTTTTAGGATCCACCCATTCTTTGGTGGTAATATCTGTACCCTCCTTCTTAGGGAATTCAACATAGAAGTTGGTGTTTACAAGTGGGGTGGATACTTAGGGAGTTTAACACTGAACCTGTTGTTCACAGGAATAACTCCCTTCCTACTTTATTTCTAGAGAAACTGTTTTAGGATCCACCCATTCTCTGGTGGTGATATCTGTACCCACCTTCTCAAGGAGTTCAAAATTGAAGTTGGTGTTCACAGGTAGGGTGGATACTTAGGGAGTTTAACACTAAAGCTACTGTCATAGGGATGCCTTATTTAGTGATAGCTCCCTTCCTACTTTATTCCTAGAGAAACTATTTTAGGATCCACCCATTATTTGGGTGGTGATATATGTAGCCTCCTTCTTAAGGAATTCAACACTAAAGGTGGGGTGGGTACTTGGGGAGTTTAACATTGAAGCTGGTGTTCACAGGTGGGGTGGGTACTTAGGGAGTTTAACATTGGACCTGCTGGCTGTTGTTCACAGTGATAACTCCCTTCCTACTTTATTTCTAGGGAGAATGTTTTAGGATCCACCCATTCTTTGGTGGTGATATTTGTACCCTCCTTCTCAGGGAGTTCAACAATGAAGCTGGTATTCACAAGTGGGGTGGATACTTAGGGAGTTTAACACTGAACCTGTTGTTCACAGGAATAACTCCCTTCCTACTTTATTTCTAGAAATAATGTTTTACGATCCACCCATTATCTGGGTGGTGATATATGTATCCTCCTTCTTAGGGAGTTCAACACTGAAACTGGGGTGGATGCTTGGGGAGTTTAACATTAAAGCTGGTGTTCACAAGTGGGGTGGATACTTACGGAGTTTAACATTGAACCTACTGGTTATTGTTCACAATGATAACTCCCTTCCTACTTTATTTCTAGGGAGACTGTTTTAGGATCCACCCATTCTTTGGTAGTGATATCTGTAACCTCCTTCATAGGGTGTTCAACACTAAAGCTAGTGTGGATACTTGAGGAGGTTAACACTGCAACTAGTGTTCACAGGTGGGGTGGATACTTAGGGAGTTTAAAACTGAACATGCTATTCACAGGGTACTTCCTTCTTAAATTATTTATAGGGAGACTGTTTTAGGATCCACCCATTCTTTGGTGGTGATTTCTATACCCTCCTTCTTATGGAGTTTAACACAGAAATTGGTATTCATAGGTGGGGTGGATACTTGGAGAGTTTAACACTGAACCTGTTGTTCACAAGGATAATTCCCTTCCTACTTTACTTCTAGGGAGACTGTTTTAGGATCCACTCATTCTTTGGTGGTGATATTTGTACCCACTTTCTTAGGGAGTTCAACATTGAAGTTGGTGTTCACAAGTAGGGTGGATACTTAGGGAGTTTAACACTGAAGCTACTGTCATAGGGATGCCTTATTTAGTGATAGCTCCCTTCCTACTTTATTCCTAGAGAAACTATTTTAGGATCCACCAATTATTTGGGTGGTGATATCTGGAGCCTCCTTTTTACAGAGTTCAACATTGAAACTGGGGTGGATATTTGGGTAGTTTAACACTGAAGCTGGAGTTCACAGGTGGGGTGGATACTTAGGGAGTTTAACACTGAAGCTGTTGTCCACAAGGATGCCTCATTTAGTGATAACTGTCTTCCTACTTTATTTCTAGGGATACTGTTTTAGGATTGTTTGTATGATTCACCCATTCTTTGGGTGGTGATATCTGTAAACTCCTTCTTAGGAAGTTTAACCCTGAACCTGTTGTTCACGGGGATAACTTCCTTCTTAATTTATTTATCAGGAGACTATTTTAGGATCCACCCATTCTTTGGTGGTGATATCCATACCCTCTTTCTTAGGGAGTTTAACACAGAAGTTGGTGTTCACATGTGGGGTGGACACTTAGGGAGTTTAACACCGAACCTGCTGTTCATAGGAATAATTCCCTTCCTACTTTATTTCTAGGGAGACTGTTTTAGAATCCACCCATTCTTTGGTGGTGATATCCGTACCCACTTTCTCAGGGAGTTCAACATTGAAGTTGGTGTTCACAAGTGGGGTGGATACTTAGGGAGTTTAACACTAAAGCTACTATCACAGGGATGCCTTATTTAGTGATAGCTCCCTTTATACTTTATTCCTAGAGAAACTATTTTAGGATCCACCAATTATTTGGGTGGTGATATATGTAGCCTCCTTCTTACAGAGTTCAACATTGAAACTGGGGTGGATACTTGGGTAGTTTAACACTGAAAATGGAGTTCACAGGTGGGGTGGATACTTAGGGAGTTTAACACTGAAGCTGTTGTCCACAAGGATGCATCATTTAGTGATAACTGCCTTCCTACTTTATTTCTAGGGATACTGTTTTAGGATTGTTTGTATGATTCACCCATTCTTTGGGTGGTGATATCTGTAGCCTCCTTCTTAGGACGTTTAACCCTAAAGCTGTTGTTCACGGAGATAACTTCCTTCTTAATTTATTTATAGGAGACTGTTTTAGGATCCACCCATTCTTTGGTGGTGATACCTATACCCTCCTTCTTAGGGAGTTTAACGCAGAAGCTGGTGTTCACAGGTGAGGTGGATACTTAGGGAGTTTAACACTGAACCTGCTATTCACAGGAATAATTCCCTTCCTATTTTATTTCTAGGGAGACTGTTTTAGAATTCACCCATTCTTTGGTGGTGATATCTATACCCACCTTCTCAAGGAGTTCAACATTGAAGTTGGTGTTCACAAGTGGGGTGGATACTTAGGGAGTTTAGCACTGAAGCTACTGTCATAGGGATGCCTTATATAGTGATAGATCCCTTCCTACTTTATTCCTAGAGAAACTATTTTAGGATCCACCAATTCTTTGGGTGGTGATATTTGTAGCCTCCTTATAGAGTTCAACACTGAAACTGGGGCGGATACTTGGGTAGTTTAACACTGAAGATGGAGTTCACAGGTGGGGTGGATACTTAGGGAGTTTAACAGTGAAACTGCTATCCACAGGGATGCCTCATTTAGTGATAATTGCCTTCCTACTTTATTTCTAGGGAGACTATTTTAGGATTGTTTGTAAGATTCACCCATTCTTTAGGTGGTGATATCTGTGGCCTCCTTCTTAGGAAGTTTAACACTGAAGCTAGGGTTGATACTTGAGTAGTTTAACACTGAAGCTGGTGTTCATGGGTGGGGTGGATACATAAGGAGTTTAACACTGAAGCTGGTGTTCATGGGGATGCCTTTTTTAGTAATAACTCCCTTCATTCTTTATTTCTATGGAGCATGTTTTAGGATTGTTTATAAAATTCACCCATTCTATGGGTGGTGATATATGTAGCCTCCTTCTTAGCTCTAATGAAAGTTGCCTTTTCCTATCAAAAGGTCTCCTTTATGTGACTTGAAATCTAATACATTTGGTAACAGAGCTCAATAAGCTAAGTATGAACTAAATCAAGAACTCAAAGTGGGCTTTTCATATTCTTGTCTTCTTCTATTCATACTATATTCCTTTCCTCTTCTAAAGATTTTTTGCTTCTTCCTTTGATTTTTACCACCACACTTTTATTGCTCCAACATAAATAATTTAAATAGCTAGATTATTAATAGTGAAACGATGTGAAGTGAGAGTATAAATCATATACTAACCGTTCTAGCAGTTATTTTCCGAATTAACTCTATCCTATTGAAGTTTCCGCTATGCCCCATTTTGCCCCACTTCACAGCTATGGTCTAGAAATGGGATTTGATGGTCTAAACACTGTATTACGCTCAAACAACTATGCCTGCAAAATAATTACATTCAATTAGAGATACCAACAGTAAATTATTTTCTTCCACTAAACCGGAACCAATAAATAACAATCAAGAAATTGTTGAGTCACATGTACACACCATCGTAGTAGCAGAACAGCCAAATATTGTGCCTGAAAAGGACCTTCGGCCATCGTTCATAGGAATGCTCGTGCAACCAACAACACGATTAAGGCCATGTACAATGAATTGATGCACACACCGTGCTCATGAATAGTCGGATATGTGTGTCAGATCATTGATGTAAGTGGCCCACACAAGGCTCACACGGGCCCCCCAGTGGAAATAACACTGAGCCAAATAGGTGCAAGAGAATCAACTTCGCCACATCTTCAATCAACTCATTTGACTTCTCATGCACTATACCAAGGACGTTCTCTGCAATTGGGAGGATGAATCACCGGTTAGTCCAAACAAACGAATAATAAACTCTGGAACCGGCGAGGAGGTATCTGTGATCACGGGACGTCCTTCTAACCTCAGTCCCAATATTAGCGCAATGTCCCAGTCAGTGAATGGTACATACACACCACCTAGGTCCAACCGTTGTACCATCTCCATGATAACTGCCTTGTCAAAGGTGCTTGGTGGAATGCAAAGTAGCTGTCCAAATGGGGTGCCATTAAGAGTTTCGTAGTGCTCTATACTTAACGGCAATTCTGAAATAAATTCACTAAAGCGTTTTGGTGAACATCTGTTGCAAACTCCCTTTTTTTGCCATTAGTTTCAAAGTGCTCTATACTTAACGGCAATTCTGAAATAAATTCACTAAAGCGTTTTGGTGAACATCTGTTGCAAACTCCCTTTTTTTGCCATTAGTTTCAAAATGTTTACCTTCAACAAATTGTAAATATAAACAAAAAATTCGTCATCAGAAAACAAAAAAAAAAAACATGCATAAATGTAAGAAATATGGAGTCGGAGTGGATGGGGTTTGAATGCGAGTGTGGTTACAGGATACTTAATGGAATGTTGGGTAGATTGTATCAGATACTATATTTCAGACAAAAAACAATGGTTACAGACAACTAATTCTTCCGATGTAAAGCTACAAGCGAGTAAGAGCTATTTCGTCCAGCAACAAGATATGTTAAAGCATCAACTATTTCATCCAAGAACAAGATATTACCCATTTGTTTAACATTCAAAGACAAACTTTAAGTAGCAAGTTTGATTTAAATACCTTCTTTCACTGTAGTCCGAGGAAGAACAGAAAGTTCACCTTCACCTCTTCGTCTGTGCAACGTGCGAATGTTGACAAATTATCGAAAAACCGAAAATAACGAGCGCCGGTAATCGGAATAAATGAAGAACTTTGGGTTCCTCAATGGGAGGAACGAAAGTGAATAGGGACTATTTACCGATTAACTATTTGGGTAGTTGGGTTGGTTGAGTGGTAAATACGTCAGAGAGAGAAAACGCGAGAGAAAACTTAAAGTGGGGCATTTCCGGCTTAAATGAGGGGTATTTCTGGGTTTTTCTATGGAGGCCTTGGATATCAGGGGTATTTCGGGTATTTTAATAATATTACAGGACGTTGGGCTAAAGTAGTACAGTACAGTGATGTTCGAGGTAAATTTTTATGCCCCTGGCTGGGCGGTAAATTAGAAAAAAAGAATGCAGGCACAGGCACAGGCACAGGCACACACGGAGAATGGAGAAAGAGAAAGGGGTGGATTTTGAGGAAGAGATGGTGGAAAGCCGAGAATGGGTTTTGTCGAAGTATGCGGCAAACGGCTTCCCAACCTCCGATCATCTCCAAATGCGTACAACAAGGGTTATTATAACGGAGGATTCCGTCCCTGAAGGCCATGCCATGGTGCAGCTTCTCTATATCTCCGTCGATCCCTACATGCGTACTAGAATGAATGGCCTCCAAGGCGGTCTCTACTTCCCCCAGTATGAGTTGAACCAGGTTCGTCGTCTTCGTCCAACACCTCTTTTTAATTATCGGCTAATACACAGACTAAAAACATAGATCTAATATTGCCAATTATTCTCCAGTCTTGCTCCTCCTTTTGTTATCAGTAACTGTTATTTTGCAGGCTATAACAGCAATGGCGGTCGGAAGGCTGATTAAATCGAAGGATCCAAATTATCAAGCAGCAGATATCGTTGTATCCCCCTTCTTCCCTCTGGCAGAATATTGCGTAACACCAACTACTTATTTTCGGAAGATAGATCCAGACGCAGGGATTTCCCTCCCGGACTACATCAGTGCATTTGGTATTTATGCGTTTTCTTTTTTCTACTTTCGTATCTTCCCTAGTTCCCTTTTCCTTTGAAGGCATGATAATTTGCAGGAGCTAAGAAAGAATGCTACCAGTCGACAACTGAATTATAGCTAGGGATTGATAATCTTTTCTACCAGTCGACAACTGAATTATAGCTAGGGATTGATAATCTTTGAAGCAAATTTTTATGGTTTAGATAATTGATTAACTCTATTTTTACTACTTACGCATTGTTTTAAAGTACCTGACAATTGATGATAAATGATAACGTGGCAAGAAAACAACAAATGATGACCTCTGTTTGCCACTTATTAAATGAAAATTTTGAAAAAGCTGAAAAAACGACCGAAGCACATGCCTCAAATGATGGCTTCTGTTTGCAACTCTGCAAATCTAAGCTTTGTCAAATTTGATCAATCCAAATTTGGATCAGATTTGACACTGATGACGTGGAAGACAGACGATTCCACGCGGCAGCTAGTGAGGTTTTTCGATAAATAAATAACATTAATTACCTAAGTTTTCCATGGAATCTCTGGTTCGATCACACAAGGAGAGAGAGAGGTGGGGGTGGGGAGGAGAGAAGCATACAGAAGCATACGCCAAGCAGACTCTCTCTCTCTCTCTCTCCCTCTGGTGTTGCATCTTGACAATCACTGTTTTTTTCTCTAATTTTGGAGAAAGTGTATTATTGTCATCTTCCCAAAATATAACAGTAATGGGGTGTGGCATGTAAGGGGATTGTGATGATACTTTAATGGTAAAAGAATAATTAGTCAATTGTCATAAAAATTAAGACAATATGTAAACAAGATAGAGTTAATCAACTAACTAAACTTTAAAAGTAATTTAATAAATTTGCCTTAAAATTTATAAACATTGAAGATTGAGGAATGAGGAGCTTAGAGCCTCTAAAATCCTATCCGGAGACACATGTACGAAAATTGAAAACGAAATCGGATCCCTTCCGTTTTCCATTCTTCTGTCTTCACTCTGCACTACACTTATACTTCCACTCAGTCTGTGACAGGTATTCTACTAGACGTATATATGTTATCATCGCTGTGGTGTGTTTGAACTTTGCGTGAGGTGCTTTACTTTTATTATTGAACAATTTGCTTCAACAATTCTACAGCACAGCTCAGAAAGTGTTGTATAACTGTGTATTTTAAAGAGTCACGTGGATCGATGGTAGGTGATATTCGTCCCTCTGATGACCTGATCATCAAAATTCCAAGAATCTCTTGATCATGAAGAAATGTTCATTAACGATTAATATTGCATTACAGGACTTCCTGGGTTCTCTGCATGGATTGGGATAGAAGTACTGGGAAACCCGAAGCCGGGGGAGAATGTATTCATCTCAGCAGCGGCTGGAGGTGTAGGGATGTATGCCGGACAATTGGCTAAACTCAAAGGATGTCGGGTGGTCGGTAGCACCGGCTCCGACGATAAGGTACATTATTATGTCCGTGCACCGTGCTACATCTGGGCACATATATTATATAGAGTTTATCCCTCTCTACACATAATAATTATTATCTACATGGACCATATATACCGGTGGTTCTATAAATAATTCCAAGTTTTATCCCCTTCATAAGTGCTTTGAGCCGGGCCAACTTGGTGTAATTTTTCATTCCAGTTTGGGCCAGCCCTGAACCCGTTTTAGAATTTAGTTAGACCCGGTTTTTTTACTTTATTTTTTTTAAAGACCCGGCTTTTGAAAGACTTACCAAGAATAAATATTGCTTGAGTCAACCAATAGTTGATCAAACCATCAAACCTTTCAACCCAAATAGCAGATCATGGTTTAGACATTAAGGGGTTGATTGGTAATATGGATAAATAAAATATTAAGCATTTCAATCTATCAGGACCCACCATATGGAGTGGTTTTTAAAAACGTTAGTATTTTATTGATAGTGTGGATGCTTTTGTCAAATAAAAATTTCTATAACATACCTTGAGAATTTATTATAAAACTTTACATAAATAATTGCATGATTGGTTCGTAAATTTAAACATAAATGACAAATTGAGAGATGGCATAGTTAAATCTACACTATAATGTGGACCAAATTTAGATATATCTCAAAAGAATACTGATTTTCACCGCGGCATGGATTGATCCATGAGATTTAAACATGGATAATATATAAAGAGATGGCTTTCAATCTACACTATAGTGTGTGTATTAAATTGAGCTAAAAGAACACTACTTTTACTGTGGCATGGATTTTTTTTTTTTTTTTGGTATTTGGTGATACACCCAAATCCGCCATAGGGGCCACTGAGTAATGCAGCACCACAATAATAAAGTCCCCTCCCCAAAGTCAGTGGTTGCAGGAATCAAACCTGCATCTATGCTGGAACAAATCAGTTAATGTACCAACTAAGCCACCCCTCAATTGCCACTGTGGAATGGATTGGTCCATATACTAAACGTAGACGGTAAATTAAGAGGTGGCCCAGTTCAATCTACAAAGAACACTGTTTTATACCGCGGAGTGGATTGGAATGAACTGACATGATATTTTCAAATGAATCATACTACCAAACAACTCCCGAGTTTTTTTATCTATAACTTTACCTGTTTTAATCATTAGCAACAATATCATACTGCCCAAATCACTCCCTTCTTTTTGAACTACAGTTATGAAAGTCCCCTTGGACCCTCAAACAAGCCTGATCCACGCAAATCTGCATTCCCTACATGCATAGAATTCTATTTTCTAAACAAGCAGAAAATAATTTTCTGATATTTGAATCAGTACTCTATGCATGCTATTTTGTTTTTTTTTTTAATTTTCTTGGTGTTTTTTTCTTTTTTTGGTAACACAATAACCATACTAGTTTAAAGTTGATTGTTTCTTGTTTATTAGCTATCCCAAGATTGCTCTTTTCTTATCATTATATGTCCAAGAGATATGAATATCTGGAGCTTTTCTCAAGTTCTTTTTATGTAATTATTTGTAAATGGTTTTCTATCTGCGAAGGTAAAGCTTCTAAAGGAGGAGTTTGGTTATGACGATGCTTTCAACTACAAGAAAGAGAAGGATTTTGATGATGCTTTAAGCAAGTATGTCAGCATTTTTTGTTTTTCTGCTCTCTAAAATTAGCACTCCTCTTTTATATATATATATATATATATATATATATATTTCTGAATGATAATTAATGCAATAGGTATTTTCCAAATGGGATCGATGTCTACCTTGATAATGTTGGGGGCGAGATGCTTGAGGCTGTCCTGAATCATGTTAACAACAAAGCTCGCATCCCAGTTTGTGGGGCGATCTCTCAATACAATCAGGTACACCTTTTGGCTATGTTTGGTTTGAATGAAAAGGTAGGCAAAGGAAGAGAAACCTGTACAAGGTTGTATAGGTTTCCTTACCTTTCTTTCCCTTGCTTTTCCTTCAAACCAAAACACAGCCTAATTAATTTTTCCAATGCTTAAAATCAAATCCAACTATGTATTGTGTGGCTTTTGTTTCTTTTAGCATTCTTCTGGCTGTAGGTTAAAGTAGGTAAATGTGTGCCTATCTAGGTTTGGAATGAGAGCAAAGGAGTCCGGAACTTATTGAATATAGTGGGTAAGGAAGTAAGGATGGAAGGATTTTTGCTGGCTTCATACTTGAACCGATTTGGAGAGTTTGTAATGGCGATGGAGAGCCACCTAAAGCAAGGGAAGATCGTCTCTAAACACAAAATCTATTACGGTATTGAGACCTTTTTGGAGAGCCTAGAGTCCATCTTCTCTGGATCTAACGCAGGAAAAGTTCTTATTCAAGTCTGCAAACAGTAAATGAATTAGGCTTTATATGTTGATTTGCTGTTAGTGATCCTGTGTGTTGCTTATCTGACAACAACACTTTATAAATAAGCAATTCTGTAATAAGAACAGCTGCTTACTAAGCTGCTTACTAAGGCCTCTTAGTAGGGTCATGACCAATTGACCATCCTACTCCTTCAAGAAAGGTGTCATGGATGAGGCTAAATAATTCGTTGTCATTCTGGCCTTCTGGTTCTAATCTAGGTGACAAATGGAAGAAACAAAGAAAGGACCATACTGAGGTTGGTCTGAAAGATGAATGAAGCCAAACTCAACCAATTAAAATTAAGCGGCTCATTATATATTAAATAAACTCATCTGGCTTACTATGAATGGTCTGTTAACAGTTAGGCCTATCAAGCTTCACAAGGATAAGTTCTATTTTTATACCATTCAAATTGAAAAACGTTATGAATTTTCCTTGATTTTTGTTCTCTGTAAAGTAGATGCTGAAGCACGATGGTTGGATTAGGTAATATCACCTTTGGAGGCAACCCACAGCATGCCACTCCTATGTGAAACTCAAATTACTATCTCCCTAGGTATATGTAATTCTGCTAAACCACGGTAAAGATTTCAGATAGATTTTCATTTTACCAGGATCCTCTTCCTCTGGGCTTCCGAACTGGACCCAAATGGTGAAATCAGGAGGATTCAGGGAACCGATACCCCCATCTTCCACCATGATCCAACCGTAATATAAGATCTACCTCACGTCACTACAAGAAAAATGGAACTGCCGCTAAAAGCCCCTAAAACTGCCGCTAAAACTACTATCGCTTAAACGTTCTAGCGGCAGTTTTTGTGATAAATTGTAAGCTGCCGCTAGAAGTCTTTTTAGCGGCAGTTGGGAACTTCTTTAACACTGTCACTAAAAGTATATTTTTTTTTTAAAATAACCTTTCTTTTTCTAATTTTCTTCAAATTTCCTGTTCTCTTCTCTGTATTCATTTAAATAGAAATAAAATATGGAACTAAATAAACATCAATTACAAATAAAATTTTAAAAAACATTCTCCATTCAAAATGTTTGAATCACAAATACATATTAATTTCAATTTGATAAATTCTTGGTTTGTAAAAGAATTTACAAGGTAATTTCAATTACAAATAATGACACCTAATCAGACTTGAAATGATTTCATAGATTGGCAAGGTAATTGATAAATTTTCATGAAGGACAATTTCACCAAGGATCAAATTTCTGTAGTTTTACAAGGTCAAACTCGGAGCCTGATCACTGGCAACACCAATTAGAGGTGCCTGATCACTAGCAACACCAGAATATCAAGTTTGCAAAGCTCATCAACTTCATGGTTGAGCTTAACTCTATCCGCACAGAGCTCCTGAACCTTCTCCAGTGTCAGGGTTCCAATTGCCATTGACAGAAGATACTCATAATCGCTGGCTCGTACACCTTTGCTGCTGACAACTTCTGAGTTTTCTTCATTTTCCTCTGCATCTTCAGTAGCACCAGCCACTGCCACCTCAACTGTCTTGGTTTTCTTTGGAAATGGAGTGAAACCTTTCTGCTGCAATTCGAGGAATAGATCGGCTCTCTTCCTGTTGTTGACAATAATCTCTCCTTTCACAACCCCGAGGATGAACCTGACCTTGTTATCCAGTTTCAATAAATCCAATTCAAGATTGTCCAATAGCACTTTCTGCGGGAATTTTTTTTTTTCAACCAACTCACCTTTCTCTTCTCATAAAATTCTAGTCTCAAATAAAAGAACTCGAGAACTGCAGACAAAAAGAGAAAACGTGCATGTCAACATAAGAATGCATAATTGTAAAATGTAATTGTAAGATTCTTACTCTGTTCTGGGTTGTCATATTTCTTAATCACGCCTTTCGGATCAAATAGGTGCATGTTGCTTGTGCTGATTGTAGTGGTGGGCTTAAACTTTTTCATCAGACCCTCTTGCTTGGCTGCCAGCAAGTTCTCCTCAGACAGGATTACTCCAAAGTGTACTGTTGTGCCATCGTTGTGCTCCCTGTAATCCTGCAAGCAGTACGCGATTTGCCTTGAGAGCTCTCTCAGAAGCCCCACCATCTTAGCTTAAGACTAGGAATTTATATTTTAATTTTACCTTAATAAATGGCTCCTTGATTTTATCACTCCCCGTCATTATTGACACCAAGAACTCCTCGTAATCCTGAGTCCATCTACGGATAGGTAACTCTATAATTCTGAGTGTTGTCTCATTAATTTCCTCAATGATCCCACTAACAGTGTAGCTGGACCCAGCTTCCTTTGTTGCAGTTTTCTCAATCAATCCCCTAAAGCCTTTGTACCATGGACCCATGGCCTCCATAGTTCACCATTCAACAAACGCCTTATATTTGCAACAATGTCCCTTGGGTTATAGTTAGGAATGTAGGAGCTCCACCCAGTCCCAATTCCTTCACTTCCATTAACTAGAACCATAGGTACAATTGGCATGTACCTGAAAGGTAAAAGGGTATTAACATTTGCAAGACCTTTAACCTAAATTACCTATCCTCCCTAATCTTTTAGAAAACTTACCAAGTGGGTTCAATGGACTGCCCATCTTCATTCAAGTAGTCAAGGAGGATATCATCATCCTTGGGAAAAAGGAATCTTGTGATGGGAGACAGGCGGGTATAGATGTACCTTACACTTGCATGATGTTTGCCTCCCTGTAATTGGAAAGAGAACATTTCAGGTAACTAGAATGGACTTATGGAGGTATTAACTTAAAGGAAGGTTTACTTTTATTCATCCAAACCTGGTGCCATGTGCCAAATTGACCATTTGGTTGGAAAAGGTTTATGTTGTTACTGCCTAATAATCTTGTGCCATTCCAATAATGGTACTCATGAGACTCTGTTCACCATGATGGTAAGCTGAATGCTCAAGGACATAACCTGAGAACTGAGCAGTTGAATTGAATTAATTCCTGTTTTGTGCGGGACATAATATGTATTTTAATCAGCCAAAGTCCATGGTAGAACCAGCATTGTTTACCTTGTTGTGCAAGGGACAGACACTCCTTAGACTCGCCACGAAGGCCTGGTTCATCGAAGGATCTATATCACTATTGGGGCTGAAGTTGTGGATTCTGTTCTGGAAGGATGAACAATGAGTGAATCCAAGGGTGTGACGTCCTGCAATTTATTGTCAAGTAGTTACTCTAGCCTGCAGGGAACCTGTTGGTCCAACTCCATTTAACCACTGATTGATCGGGACAATATATGTAACTAAATTACCTGAAAGAGTGACCAGGTCTGCCATGGATAAACCTCTCTGCGAGAAGCTTTGCTGCAATTGAGATATGTTGAAGGTGGGAGCTGGCAATTGTCTGGTTCTGCTGGCTTTTGAAACTCTTCCATCTTTTCTTCCTTTGGGCACTTCCCCAACTAGGACCTCCAGACTAAGAAATATTAAATAATAAATACCATGCATTAAAGATTAAACCATCGCTGCTACTCTATGAAATGAATATGTGTGGAATGCAGACTACATATTGCTTATACATATATATATATATATATAAGCAATGTGTAGTCTGTATTCCACACAGAATCAGTTTCAAGTTTCATTCTTCAATCCAACCTCAATTAACCAACCCTCAAATGAAAGAAAGAAGGAAGAAATCAATTAAAGAGCGAGCAGTGTGGTGTTTGGACTTACTAGAGCAACTGCATCTCTTGCAGCTAGAACCAAGATATCTGCACAGGAGACGACACCGGGGCACACTGACTCTATTGCTTTCTTTGCATTGTCAATGACATAAAATGCATGCAAGGAAATGTTAGGAGGGCTATCCTTTTCAGCTTGGTTGTTTCCTACAGATTTCAATAGCACTGAGCCATCGCAACCCTTCAAAAAACAAAACAGGAATTAATTCAATTGAACTAGACAAAGTAGTGCTGGGGTGCTGGCTGATTAAAATACAACTTGTTTTAACTCTCTCTTGTTTTTGGCATCTTAAAGGCATGATAATCAATGATACATTTTTATCTGCTTCCATTTTTCAGAATTTTGTCACCAAAGTTTCTATGGAAAATAGCTAATTATGTAGGGATTTTGGAATTGTGTAAAAACTCATGTGGACATAAAATATAATGTCTCTTGACAGGTCATACATATTTTTTTCTATGGTGGGCCTTGCCGCTGCATTCCGGCATGCATGTGAACTTGGTTCATCAAATTTATTAACAAAGATCTTCCTTTCTTGTAATATTTAAATGGGGACATCTCAAGTTTTTGTAGTTACAAGATATTGAGACAAGAAATATCAATTCCCATGATTTGGCCTTTGTGTCTAGTGCTAGGCCACCATTAAAGACTGAGTGGTCAACTGGGCTTATATTAATGCAATGGTTGACCCAAAAACCTCAACAATCAATATCTCAAGCCCTAAACTCTGAAGTTTGTAATGAAGTGTTTAATGTAGGGTGACCGAGCTGGAGCAAGAAATTGGGATCTGAAGATCCGAAATTGGCTTGGTATTTTTGACTGATATATTTAAGGCTAAGGTCATCCCTGAAATGGGGCCAAAGTTGTACTCGAGAAATCAGGATGCAAAAGTTAAATGCTTCATGCTGCTTTATATTATATGACTTACTCTTCATTCCAGTCAACAAAGTTTGATAGATTGGCTTGATTTGCAGAAATTCACTAGTAAGTAGATTGGCTTGTTGATTGCACCTCAGATTTCTTTTATCCCTAGAACCTACATCAGGGCACATAGCTACAGAAGAGAAAGCTTCAAATTCCAGAAGTTAATTAAAAATAAACACAAACAGCATAGATGAAGAGAAAGGAATAAGATCAAACCAATAAAAAGCTTGGATTCCTCAATCCAACAGAGAAATATGGGAGTCCCTTATTTGTGGGGTGACCCTTATTTTTAGTGATATTAAAAGGGCAGCCCAGTGCATGAGGCCCACCAATGTGGGGTCTGGGGAGGGACAGATGTATGTAGCCTTAACCCTGCAGATACAGGCTGTTTCCAAGATTTAAACCTTGGTCACTCAGATTGCAATGGAGCAACTCAACCGTTGCGTCAAGGCCCTCCCTCATTGTATTAGATATTGTAATTGATAATGCCAAGTAGTTTTTTGTATTCTCCTTATTTCTTTTAATTTAATGAGATGTCTTATATATATATATATATATATATATAAAAAGGTCCTAATACTCAGGGTTAGGCCCCACAAAGCCTGACTAGCTTTCCCTCTATCTAGAGAGTTTGCAAAAAGAAATCACTAGTCTTTGTCTCTTTGAACCCAACTGAACAAGGTGTTAATACTAAACACCATTATCCAAGGGTCAAGCTTCCTGAAGATAATGAAAGATCTACCAAGGGCCTGAACCTCCTACATCCACCTAATGACCTCTTGAGTGTCTCCTTGAATCTGCTGCATCCTATATAAAGGTCCAATGGCCGCCCCTGCAGTGGAGATAGCAATTCAACCTAAATGGAATTCCTGATGCATATGGGTCCTGATTCCTGAATGGTCAATTGATGCCTGATACTTCTTGGTTTCCAATTTTGCAACTGTCAAAGCAGTTATTATACACATGTGTATGTACATGTACATATAGATACAAGGAACTAGTCTGTTTATTTGGTTGTTTAATTAAGTCTAAACAACACAGGAATCTTCCGTGCGACAAGATCTTTTGGGTCCCAAAAGAGAAGAAAACACAGTTGTGGTTCTTAATGAGATGAAATAGGGTTAGATCTGCATCCAATCCATTCAAACAGATGCAATTTTTAAAATCCAAATCCCCATCTGTTTATGTAAACAGATGGCCAAATTGGAAACAATCAAATCTCGGACTTATGGACATAGCAGTATGTCCTAGTGATCTTTGCACTTTTGAATGGGATGCTATTCATCAATTTACTTTTGTTTAATTGTGCTTATGAGTCATATAATTTGATTCTGTGTGTCATTGATGAGTTCTGTTGTTTTGACAAAACTTGCTTCCATTTCTTGGACCACTTCTGAGAACAACCAGTGAAGCACACCGTAACTTCTCAGTGATCAAGAGCTTGCGAAAGTGAGAACTTGTAGGTGAGTGTGAATGTTATGGGTCAATGTGCAGTATCCATTGCACATTGTGATTCTTCTATACCAAACATTAATTCAATTGTATGATTCTAACAGTTCTATTTCAAGTTCTTCTGGACATTACCAATCACAAATAAGGGTAGGAATTTTATACAAATAATGGTGGAGGTTTTGTAAATGACCATATAATGGTTGCTCAGACCAGCCTGCTATGTATACCATGTGTACTGGCATGCCTTTGGTAGATAATCTTCTGCTATACCTGACTGTTATGGAAGTTTAAAAAACTTGAAGATTAGACACTCTGTACAGGGCTGAGCCTAAACCTCATTGAAGTCTAAATCTTAAACAGACTAGTTATAGACTTATAGTTTGATTTTTCGATTTCTTACTTTGATGCCCTCAAAATTTCTATAGCATTACTTGAAACCAACCAGAGAATTTGCTAAATTGAGGTATTTAGGAAATCTACTTGTTTTATGAAGCAGGTGAAAGAGGAACTGTATAAACAAAGGATAACAGTTGTGAAGATAAGCAGTGATGAAGAGAAAGGAATGCTTAGCACAACTAACTGATTGCTCTGATTGTATATTCCCAATGTACAGTCCCTTATTTGTAAAGAGATACTCCCCCGGTGAATCCAACTATGTAAATAGGTGGTGGTCTCTAGATCACACAAGACTTACTGTCATCCTTCTAAGGACACTCTTTTGTGGGGTGGATAATCATCTTACGGCTTCATTTATGTTGATTAACCCAATCTTATTCATGGAAGGCAACATGTTGACAGTATGAGTTCCATGATTGGACTTTGAAGGACAATCTTGTGAACTAATGAAATATTTGTTTGCAAAGAAAATTAGAGAACGAGAATGCTGAAAAGTAAAAGAAATCAAATGTAAAGCCAACTGAATAAGAACCAAACAACAATAAGACAAGAACAATATGTACCTCTCAGGGGAATTCAATATCTCATAGTAAAAGACAAGAAGTTCAAGGCCAGGCCAAGCCTAGATAATATTTAAAAAAAAAACGTTATTATCAAGCAACAAAGTCCTAGATAATATTTAAAACCAAATCTTCTTAAAGGATAAAATGGTATAAGTAGAACCATTAAAAATAAAATAAAACAAGGAACAGTTTGAACATAATCAAAACAACAAAACAACCACCAAAAAATCCTAAATATTAAGATTGATTTTTAAGTTATTTGGAAACCTACCAAAAATAACTGCTTTCCTATAATGAGAATCTCAAGGTGGAAACCTGTCCAACCTTTAGTACTTCTTCACGACCAATTCAGCAGATCTCAAGGTGAAACCTACCAAAAAAAAACTGATGACAAAAGTTTTTGGAAACTGATGACAATCTCAAGTTATAAAGTACATCAAGTTATTCTTTCTTATAATGACTGTCGCTATAATTAAAAATAATTAAAACTAGTGACCCATTGAACAGGTCAGCTTGGTGAACTGTTCACTGTCCAGGTCCATGAGTCATTGACTCAACCAACAGCTTCTGTAATATGGTGGTCTAGAGGTTGATTCAAACCAGGATTGTGGCTGGGTCATATTGAAAACACTCTCAGAACAAGAAGTAAAACCATAAGATACAATAACATAAAAAACATGGTAGTTACTCAATGTCAATGTAACTCACACTACCAGCTCCAACTTGAGCCAGGCTATCGGCTAATGAACTAGCCAATTTGGGATGAGCCAAATGATATGTCCACTGTAGCTGCTAAAGACCTAACCACTAGAAATGTGATATCGCAATTACCATGGCCCATCCCCATCATCCATTAATCACAGCTTCTGAATTTCCAAGTTCCAAGAACATACTTATAACACAGTAAAATTATATAATATTCTACAACTAAAAATTTGTTTTTGATAATTTATTCTACTACTAAGATTAAAAGATAGAAAAGAAAGGATTTGGCAAAATAGACCACTAATAAGGAGCTCAACAGAATCAAACTTTACAAGGTCCTTTGGACTACATGAATGGTTTCAAGGATGAGAAGGCTATAAGGGGGTCGACTTCTGATATGGGATTTTGCTCCTTAACAACTGCAACCGAATTTGGTGATTTGAAAATTGAAATTCTAAAACACAAACTGGCTGTGTAGCTTGAATGGACTGTTGATTTGCTGCATGCTAGAGAGGATTTTTATTTTCCTTTCTTTTGTCTTATTTTCTTTCATTCCCATCAAAATATGATCCAAAGGCTGAAACAGTGAGAATCTTGTAGAAGTAGTCCATTCCTTAAATAACTAAAAGTGTGTAATTTCAAATTTATTAATGTTAATGGTGAATATGTGAACTACATATAATGACATCAGAGAAACTGAAACAGTGTTACCATATGCTGGGCCAAAGAAGCCATATTAATGACTGGGCCCCCATTACCTACAATATTTCCTACATTTCAAGCCTCCGAGCCCACTGTCGGTTGGGTAATATTTAGAATATCAGTTGGGCCAATAATCAGCATTCAAATAACAAACATATGACCCTTTAATTCTGCTGAATTTGATTGGGTGTGGACTGTGGAGAACCAGAAAACCCTCTTTGATAGTTCAGTCAATTATGCTGATTTTTGACACAACTAATGTTTCAAATGGGCTATTCACACTGGTGGGCCTTGACAATTGCAACATTTGACAAGTGACAAATTTTAGGGGCCCAGACGGCCAGACCCATGTATAGGTCCTTTGTACTCAGTAAGATAAGAAAAGAAGAAGATGCTAAGAGATGATGAAAATGAGATTTAATGTAATCCAAATATAATCTAAACAATAATAATATAATAATGCTGAACCAAGTTCAACTCAGATTCACCAAAATAAAGAAGGCCCATAAATTAGATTTGGAGAGAGAAATTGCAGAAAGCAAGATGCAAAGCTTTTACTGTACACTCTTGTTTATTGGTAAGAAGAGCAGAAAGTAAGCTGCAGACCAGATGATTAATCCTTTCAAGAAGACCACAGAATGGTACAGGGGACACAGATGATGCATAATTAAAGGGAAAGTGAATTTAGAAAGACATCAAGCCTTAAAAAAAGCAGAAGTTAGAATCATATTATTTTTTGGGTAATCATATTGTCCCTTAACTTTCTGCTTCTCTTAATATTTTTACAGCAAATAAAATGGTAACATCTGAAACTAAATAAAAATGCAAGAAAAGTGGAAATGACAATACCTTATTTTCATTCATCCACAGCAGAAGGGGTGTTCTATTCCACCATTTCTTTTATGATGGAAAGTGGAAACTTTGTTTTTGCCTTTTACATAGAAATTGAACTAGTCCTCTGGATAAGTAGACAAGGGGAGAATGTGAGATTAGCCAAAGAAAAAGTATTAATTATGATTACTTGCTGTAATGATTCCTTACTAAATTTATTACCATATGCTGACAGAAAGAGTTAAGTGGCGATAGAAGCCTATGCACTGCCCTAAAAAGTTTTTGGAATGACATTGGATTAGTGTAAGGATGATGATCATGCAGGATTACTCGTCCTGAATGACCTACGACTGCGGGAGCCCCTCTGCCAATTATAACTCATTGGCTAGAAGAGTTTAAAGAATATAGGAAATTGTATGTGTATGATGGAGTATTTCCACTGATTTATTGTTTGTTATAACTCAGGCTATTTCCTTGAGAGAGATGGAGGATATTTCCAGTTTAATTCTAAAAAATAAAAAGTATCCAATCTAAAGCTACTTTACTTCACCCACAACCATTTCAGTGTTCTTTTTTATTAGAAAACTAAATCTATTGTTCGAATCTAAGCTCATTAAATTCATGCATTGACTATGCAAAACCACAAATATAATTGTGAAAAAAAATTAAAATGATATTCTAAAGAGAAAGGCCAAGTAGAAATAGTGCAAAACTCTTAGAAATGGTTCCAAGCAATTTTACCAATTTATAACCTAGGTTTTCTATTTATTGATGAGGTTTCAGCAAAATCTAAACATTTAGGAACTATATTAGGATCAAATGCCAATGTGCGAGATCGAGAGATTTACCTGTCGATCTTCCTTTACAGATCTTCAGCTTTTTGCTCTTTCTTAAATCAAACAGAGAGAGGCGTGGAGAGGGCGGGAAGAAGACGAATCGTGAAGAGGGAGAGGCGTGGAGTGTGTGATTCATAGGGGGGCACATCTTTAGCGACAGTTTTAAACGACTGTCGTTAAAGATCAATATTCTAAATATAGCCGGTTCGAAAACTGCCGCTAGAAACATAATTTTTTGTAGTGCGTATATTTTATCAAACACATTGCGACTCAGTATCTACATCAAGCATACGAACTACGGAGACAAACATGCGAAAGAGGATAATAACAGGCTCGAGGCGGAGGACTTGCACCAGACGGCTTCCTTCATCCAGACCAAGCTGGTGAGGGCAGCCATGAATGTAGTGATTTCCTACACTCAACGCCTTCTGCTAATTTTCCATTTGGAAGCAATAGCAATACAAATTTGCAGAGTGCATAAATGATGGTTTGCGGATGATAGTAATAGTAAATACTGTAAAAAAATATGATAGAAAAGACAGAAGAGAACTTAGTTGAACGAGAGAAAAGATTTTGTAAATGTATTCTACTACTTCTCTTGATAATCCGAATCAGTACAAAAGAGGGGTTTTTATAGTAGATGGAGTCGGTTGAAGGTGAACCGACTTACATTGAACAGAGACTCACATTAACTCACCTAGGGAGCTAAAACGACTAACTTTGGAACTACCTACCATTGGAAGATGCAATCAACGCACATTGGAATGAAGCGAACATTGGAAAAGAGCTTTACTGTATTTTTGAGAGGACTGATTCAATGATTCTTGGAAATGTGTAGCAACATTTAATACTCCTCCTTGGTGTACATTTCAGCAACTCCAATCATGTCTCGTAACAATTCGAACTTGCCTTTTGGTAGAGCCTTTGTGAATATGTCAGCTAACTGTTCTTCAGTTTTGCAATGTCCGAGTTCTATTTCTTTGTTTCCTTCAACTTCTCTGATAAAGTGATACTTGATGCCAATATGTTTGGTTCTGCTGTGAAATATGGGATTCTTTACTATTGCAATAGCTGATTTGCTATTGCAGTAGATTTCAGTAGCACCAACTTGTGGTTCTCCCATGTCATCAAATATCCTTTTGAGCCATATAGCCTGGCTCGTTGTTATTGCTGCTACAATATATTCTGCTTCAGCTGATGATTGGGCAACAGTTGCTTGCTTCTTTGAAGTCCAAGAAAATATCCCTGATCCAAGTGTGAAAGCATAACCAGATGTACTTTTCATGTCATCTACTGAACCTCCCCAGTCACTGTCTGTGTAGCCAATGAGCTTAGAGTCATGTGTGACTCTGTACCAAATTCCATAGCTCTTTGTACCTTGCAAATACCTTAGTATTCTTTTAGCTGCTCCGTGGTGGACTTGACTTGAATTCTGCACGAATCTTAATAGTAGACTAACTGCATACATGATGTCTGGTCTTGTAGCAGTTAAATAAAGAAGACTTCCAATCATACTTCGAAATTGTGATTCATTTGCCTTTGGGGTGAGTCATCTTCCTTTTTGAATGCTTTAGTGTTGTCTAATGAAGTGGAGATTGTTTTGCACCCCTCAATTTTGAATTTCTTCAAAAGAGTTTCTGTATACTTCTTTTGTGAGATGAATGTCCCTTCTTCTTCTTGAATTATTTCAATTCCAAAAAAGTAGTGCATTAGGCCTAAATCAGTCATCTCAAAAGTCTTCATCATGTCTTCTTTAAACTTCTTGACCATCTTCTCATTATTTCCAATATAAATATGATCATCAACATATAGAGAAACAATGAGAGTGTCATTTGTACCTTGAGTTTTGATGTAGAGTGTTGACTCATTATAGCTCCTCTTGAATCCTTGCTCCAAGAAGTATCTGTCGATTCTGCTGTACCAAGCTCGTGGAGCTTGTTTTAAGCCATATAATGCCTTCTTTAATCTGAGAACTTTGTCTTCTTGTCCTTGCACCACGAACCCTTGAGGTTGCTCCACATAGATTTCCTCCTTAAGATAGCCATTGAGGAATGCAGATTTTACATCAAGTTGAAAAGTTTTCCATTTCTTCTGTGCAACTAGAGCTATCAATGCCCTGATTGTGTCAAGGCGAGCGACTGGAGCAAATGTCTCATTGTAGTCGATACCGTATTGTTGTGAGTATCCTTTGGCAACTAGCCTTGCTTTAAGCTTCTGGATTGAGCCATTTGAGTTAAGCTTTGTCTTGTAGACCCACTTAACTTCAATAGTGTCTTTGTCTTATGGACGATCCACAAGCTCCAAAGTCTCATTTTTTTCAATCATTTTTATCTCTTCATTCATAGTTTTTCTCCATTTTTCTTCCTTGAAAGCTTCTTCAAAGCTTTCTGGTTCTATGATCATCAAGTTGCATGTTTCATATATTTCCATTAAGGATTTAGTTCACCTTGGTGGTGAGTTGGGAGTAGACTGTGAAACTTGTTCCGGTTCCAATTGTGTTGGCGAACTGATCTGATCACGATCTTCTTCAATTCTGACTTGGTAATAGAGGCAAGTTGATAGTCTTTCTTTAAACTTCTTTTGTCTCCCAATTGTATGCAGCATCCTCGTCGAAGCTTATGTCTTAACTAATTATGAGTTTTTCTTTCCTTAAGTTATAGACTCGATAGCCTTTTGATTGAGTGCTATAGCCTAAGAAAATTCCTTTCTCAATCTTCTCATCCAGTTTGCCTCTTTTTTCTTGTGGGACATGTGTGTAGCATATGCATCCGAAAACTCTGAGATGCTTTGCTGATGTCTTTTGCCCACTCCAAGCTTCAATTGGTGTCCTATCTTGCATAACTTTAGTAGGACATCTGTTGAGCAGATAGACAACAGTGCTTATTGCCTCTGCCTAGAAAATTTTGGGAAGCCCCTTTTCCATGAGTATGGCTCTTGCAGTCTCCATAACTGTTTTGTTTCTTCTTTCGGATACTCCATTCTGTTCTAGAGAGTACCCGACTGTAAGTTGATGCTCCATGCCTTCATCTTCACAGAACTTGTTGAATTCATTAGAAGTATATTCTTTGCCTCTATCACTTCTTATGGTCTTGATGTTGTGACCACTTTGCTTCTCRACAYGGGCTTTGAATTTTTTAAAAATATCAAAAACCTGCGATTTTTCTCGCAAGAAATAAACCCATGTCATTCTAGTATAATCATCAATGAAGAGGATGAAATACCTG